GTGGCGGGGGGGGGGGGTTGGTTTAGTTTCTTACTCAATATTTTTAAACGCAATCAACCCCCACCACTGAAGGGGGGGTTGTTTGCGTTTTGAAAACTTGACCAACCCCCCCGAGGAGCTCCGAAAGGAGCGCTCTGCTCTTGTGTAAGAAAATGTTTTGGAATTTCAAATCACACCTGCAAAAATATTGGCATAACAGTTAAAATTGTTACATCATAGTTTTCGTTGACATTGTTGTATTTCATTAGATTGTATTGCAGTCAACAATCAGCTTTCTTAGTCTGAAAAGAACTGCGCTGTGAATCGCTTGTAGAAGAAGTGCGTCTTAGACAAAATACTTTTGTGCTGTTGATGGATAGTTCCTTATGCTCTCTGTCTAGTTCCCTTCCCGTGATCGAAGAGATAGGTAAAGACGTTTTCATATTTTATTGTTATTATTATTTATCAACTTATTTACATGTGTTTGTTAATACTTATGAACACTTGCAAGAAAATAAAGCTTGTTTCTTTCTTTCTTTCTAATACAGTTTCAAATAATGTTAGATTGACTTTTGTTATTTACGACAAAATTTGATTGCAGTTGAATATTCCAGTAAACAATTAGAAATTCGAATGCTTAAAACAACAAGGCATGTTTAGTAGCCGAAAATCTTGATGAAACAGAACCTTAAGAGTCTGTTGGTAAGTATGTGTACCACCTGCTTTCACAATTAATAACCCTTCGTTGTGTATTTGTGGGTTTTGTATGATTCTCAGGGTAAACAGCCATCATTTTCTTAAACGAACATTTGAGGTTATTTTGGCGTTTGATAAGCTGCAAAGACATCGGATGTCACGTTTGCAAGGTATTAATTTCGACATTAACCGATTGATCTTTGTATTGGTGGAGTGTAGTGTAGAGATCGAGGTCGACCTTGAAGAAGATGGCAAGATCAATTTGAAAAATTCTCTAGAAAATCAAGTCGGTGTGGTTTGTTTCTAGAGAAGGAACCTTGATTTTTCTTACTGTGTGACAGATTTTATTGAACCACTTACAAAATGTACCCAGGAGTGCCCTACCAAAAATGCAATATGAAAATATAGCAGCCTGTGTCTCAGTGCTTTTAAATAATCCTTTTGTTTCTCGTTATTGACAATTGAAAAACTCATCATAGGCCTTTTCACTGTAACTTGGTGTTTACAAAAATAAAATCAGGGATGACTTCGTATAATCAGAGCCGTTAATGAATGTTACAATTGAAGTTTAGTTAAGACTATTAGAATGTCTTAAGATAAATTATTTTAATATGAAATTTCTATAAGGACGAGGATAATGGTGGTGCTTCCGAGATGAGTGGCAAGATTATTAGTGTACAAGTGCACATTGGCCAGTTTACATCTGCAGCGGTGCCTGTAATCTGAATTTAGCCATCATTGAGTCTTGTTCAGTTGCTCTTGTCAAAAGTGTCATGGCGTTTGTCAGTAGTATATTCTGAAAATTAATGACATCCCTTCCTGTTAGGAGATGATGAAGAAAGCAGTCATTTCCATTGTAACATGTTTTAAGAAAAATTGTGGGAAATCATTTGAATGGACTATAATCTTGATCTAAGAACTAGAAGAACTCTGTATTGCAAATGCTTATACTATCCAATCATTTATGTTCCAGGTATAAAATGCCCTGTGTGCGCCAAGTTCGTGCTACCAGACGACATAGAATGCCACCTAGTGATGTGCCTCACGAAACCTCGGCTCAGCTACAATGGTATTATTTCATTCCTGCCTTTAATTGCAGTAGTTTTTTTATTGTGCAGGGTTACAAAGAGTGTAGACATTTTTTCCCGTTTTGTAGTATGTTCAGTGCAGTTTTGAAAACCAAATTGGCATTGTGTAACTTCGGCTTTCGTATCGAATGTCTGGTGTTGATCAATGTTTCAGCAAACATTGCAGTTGCCGTTTTCAAGGTGAGTATTGGCAGTGATTTTCTAATTTATTGCAGATATTTACTTACGATGTTGCATCACTAATCTTATTAAAGATTACCATGATGCATATTAAAATCCTATTAAATGTGCCAAATATTAGAATAAGTTTGAAGTTAAAAATATAGATTTTAATGTAATTCTATTTTATGTCATGTACAAATCTTATTATGTGGTAAGTTGTTCTAACAAATTTAATTGATTTGAGCTTCATGTAAAGTAAGGGGTGTGACTACATCTCTTTGGAACTGAGTCATTAACAGGGCTAATGTCCCTCCACCAGATAATACATGAGTAAATGTGGAACAGCAGGGAAATGATACTGACAGGGGAAGTCTGAAGGACTGAAAGAAATCTGTCCCATTGTGACATTGCCCACCTCAAATCCTGCATGGATTGACCTGGTTGTGAATCCAGGCACAATAAGGATTAAATTTGACAGGCAAAAATGAGAATTAAATTAGCCCAGTAACTTTCAAAAGATAAACATGCGGACATATTTTATATTAAAGAAAGAAAGAAAGGATGGGACAGACAGTGAGACATGATGTGATGAGCTCTACTGTTTAGAAAATTAACATGAAGCAAGTTCAATTTAATGTGTTCGTATTGAAAGCTACTACAATAAATACCAATTGCAGTGATTAAATGTTAACAGAGAACAGCAATAATCCATTTAATTAAGCAGTTATTATGTCTTGCTTATCCTTTCTGTGTAAGTTTATTTTGATTTGATGTTGAGATGTTCTGTTTCAGAGGATGTGCTGACAGATGACAAGGGGGAGTGTGTCATTTGTCTGGAAGACCTCCAACAAGGCGACACAATTGCAAGGCTTCCGTGTCTCTGTATTTACCACAAGAGGTCAGTGTATGTTACTTCCTAGGCAATTTATAGGTGTTTTTCAAACTGGAGAGGTTAAATAGTTTCAAACAATACAAAGATAATCATTAACTTTAAGTAGATAACGATTTGGAAGAGGGTACTTGCAGTCTGTTTCTAGGTACTAGCTTAACATTCACCTGGGAACATTTCAGGTAGGATAGCCAGAATTCGAAAAGGGCATCTCCAAAATACAAGTTTGCTTAGTGTGTGATGTAGCTAGTATGTCCAACCATGAAGCAGTTTGTCATTCAAAGTGCCCCTTCTCAAGCAGTATTGGTAATAGCATGATAATAGTTGGTATAACAAAAGGTTTTCCAAAAGTTTAATCCTAATGTAACCTGTGCTGCACTTGTGACAAAAGACCCAGACCTTGGATCAAGGGCGAAAGTCATTAACAACTAGTGGTAATTGTATTTACTTCTTTAAAAATTAATAAATCTGCATTTTTGCTCAAATAGTATATTTATTGATTTTGTTGTAATTATTTCCTTAAAAAGCATTAGTAAACTGATATTCGTAATAGAGACAGTTTCGGGGTTGGGGAAGGTAGGATCCTAATTGTTACATTCATATTATTTTGATGATATTCAGCTTCAGATATAATGGTAAAATTAAGGTGAGTTTATATGCAGCTGAGGTGCTGTTTACTGAGTTCTGCAAACTTATGTCTTACATTCAGGTTTTTGATCAAAATATTGTATCCATAGCTTGTCTCTTATGCATGCTACATGCCCAACTTAGCTCATCATTCTTGACTTATCACCTAGATGACAGTTTTCAAAGATGAATTATTACATATATTTCAGGATCCTACATTACGTTGAATAAGTGCCCACTTTATTTTGAAGGGTTACCGTATTGATGTTACTAAAAAGTACAAATATAAATTTACCTCTGATGAAATGATGTTCATGCTAAGTTTCTATTAAATCTCTCAGTTAGAAATTTCTTTTCTGACAAATGATTGTTGGTATTGTTTCAGTTGCATTGACAGGTGGTTTGACGTAAACCGGTCATGTCCAGAGCACCCTGGGGACTAGCCTTTGTGCGACTTCAAGGAGCGAGTTCCTTACCTACCATTGCAGCTCCTTTCACTGTTACTGGATTGGTTGCCGCCACGATCACCATCACCAGAAGATGGAATCATCTTTACAGCTGCCAGTGTCATCCACATGTTCCACTGCATTAACTAGTGATCTTCACTGTGAAGCGTTCAGATTTTTACCTCTGCGTTTCAGGATGTGTCAATGTCAAAAGCACACGCAGGAACGTTGAGGTACAGGAAGAAACTGAAACTTAAGTCACAACTTGTTTCTCATAGTCATCAGCGAAAATGCTTTCCAGCTTCACAGTTAGACTTCTTCTGTTTGAGTTTTTGTATGGAAATGTGGATGGTAAGCTGACAATTGGAAACATTTACGCTTCACTAAAGATATATCACAAATGGTATTTTAGAGTGATATAATATTGGTTCAAAGTTTAGTTCTTGATGGAGACTGAATTCGCAACCAGTCAAGTTTCAGAATTGCACTCACTATGTGCTCCACATCATGCAGGCTGTTTGTTATATAAAAATTGTTTAAAAAATATATGTCATATAAATATATATAAATACATTTAGTAATATATATCAGTTACAAAAGCAACCTTTAAAATAATGAGTCTTGTACAGACACTGTAGGGGGGAAATTTATTTTATTTGTGTATATTACTTTGTCTCTTTAATTCTGCATTGCTATGCAACAACGACTAAAGTCTTATCATATGTTTTACATTACTGAAACCAATAACTCGTGGTTCAATTTTTTTTTGAAGTTGTGTAGAAAATAATGGGCACACACTCGTCATTGCTTTGAAAGGGCCAGGTAGTCTCTTTCACAGCAAAGTGATATTTTTGATACTTTCATAAGAAATCTCATAGGAGAAGATGCAGTTGGTAGACTGTGATTACTACCAACATCAAAATAACAATCTTACTCTTTTGACATGCCAAGCACCCAGAGTTGACATGTATATCAATAAAGATATAGGTTTGTTTAGGCGTATGTTTTAGGATTGATGGCATGTAGGCCCAAAGAATTGAGATTGTGAACATTTAGTGGGAATGCGCAGGTCTGTTAAATTCCAGGCTGTCTTGAGATGGAGAAACAGAATTAATATTGAGATTCAAGTTCTTATGAATACAAACTGTATGCCCAAAATAAAAACAGTATGTTTATGTCTAGCTGTGTATTGGAATAAAAGAACATTTAAACTGAAAAATATTATGTTACTAAGTCTTAGGGGTAATGGTAGCAAGTTCCATGCTTGAACGACTGATAGGCCATTGCTGTCTACAGTAAATTACCAGATTGTATGAAATATTTGTACAATTGCAGTACATACATTGTAATGTTCCACTACACATGCAGTTCTGTGGTGTTTCTGTAAACTTTTAATAAGAGGCATGAACTTGGGTTCCCCAAGAAAGTTAGGTTAGCTTATTGTGAGAAGCAAGCCCTCATGATTTTGCCATTTATGATGTATTTATTAATTGCGTACTGTTTATGATGATCTGGCATTAATTTCCCTTTTGATTAAAAATTTTCTAAGTTCTATTCATGAAGTCATTCCATTCAGACTGGAGATGAAACAAAGAGGAATGTCTTAGTTGAAGGCTGTAGTTTTGTGATGATGGTGCATTATAATATGTGGAATTGTTCTTTTAGACTTTGTCCAGTTGTCTGCATTTTAAAATTATAAAACTACAACATTCTGTAAGATTCTCCTTCGATCTTCAGGTCAGGTTACCTGAATCCTTAGTCTGAAGTTGGCTCAATCATGTGGCCCAACAAGTATTTTTTCTGTCCTCTTTACCCTTTTCTTACCTGAAGATGGAAGCAAAATCGGCTTCTGAAATGTTTTAATTTCATAATTTTAAAATTTAGTTATGGACAAGGTCTAAAACAACAATTTTACATATTAAAATATATTCGTTTTTTAAATTATTTGTAAAAGTATGGTTTTTAGATAAGGTGTCGATTGTGCCTCATTACTTTCTCATATGTGTAATGAAGTTCTGTATGATCAGTTTATTCATGAGATACAAGGTTTTTGTGGGAGGATATATAGATTAGATGAAGTAAAGCCTTAATTGATTTGAATTTTCATTTACATGTTGAAGGAAAATAATATTCTGTCAAATGTTATCTGGGATCTGTAGGTGAAACGGTTCCCACAACTAATTATGAGAGTCACTATATTTGGCAATGACTGACTTATGTGAAAATGATTTGCTACAGTGCCATATGTCTACATCACTGTTCACATGTCTGTTTATAAAATTGGAAATGGAAAGTTGTCAGTATTTGTGGTTTATGTCACGACTACAATCTACTTCACTTCTAGAACAGAACTTTACATCCATCTGTTCATAAGTATAATTGCCCCCAGCGAACAGCACTTTTACAACATGCCTCATCACATTCTTCCAACATGTTTACTGCAAGTAAGATATGAGTTGACATGATGCGGAATTTGAAGTGTAAAACGTCATTGTCTTTTTAAAACTGTGACCATTTAAGTTGTGCCTTTTGTTGATGGTACTAGGGCATGCACCTTTAAATTTATTAATCGTGGCATGAACTTTAACCATTTTCTGTTTGAGTGGACACATAGACTTGCCGTGTGTTCATAGAAACATCCGGGATATCAGTTAAATTGTTGCACTAATTCTTTGTGGGTGATCTATGTCATTCATTGATTGAGTGAGTGTATCTTGTACTTTGTATTCTGAGAACATTATCCCATGCCTAATGAACATGAGCAGTATGTGTGAACACATATTTCCTGATGAGTGGATCCATCCTGTGCACAGGCACAAAGTGCATCCTTCTTTCTTGGGTTGATGATCAATCAACACCTGTACAGATTTCATGTTGCTGTAGTGTTTATAAACTACTGAGCAGAACATGGGCCTTTATTTCAGCTTTGATATTTAATTTATGTTATGTCTAAATTACTTTTTCTGTAGTACTAATTTCTTCAGAGAAGTGATGTACAGTTAGCAATTTGTTCAATGTACAATTTGAACTTTTGTGTGAAAGTGTTGATGCCAGAACCTCCTGGTGCTAGCTGATGGAGGACTTGAAGTTGTATAGCGTGTGTAATGTTATTACTACTCTTATTATTTGTGATGTGATTGCAAGGAATATGAACTATATATAATTAAGTCATATTATATAAGTTACTACTTATAACTTAGTTACTCATATAACACTTCCTTGTATTCTACCCATTATCCTTGTAAATATTCACTACATTTATTTTCAATACTGTGAGGACTGCTATCACTTAGTTGCTTCCAAAGAAAGTTGCTATCATGTGCCTCTGGATGCTAATGTGTTTTGTGCACAAGTTCATAAAATTAACTCATACTGGGGAGTTTGTTTCTGTTCATCTTTCTGCATGTTTCACCTTTGAAACTTTGTAGTTGATACTGGGAGCCTACAGTACAGTTGTCAGTGAAGTTAGGTTTAACTTGTATCAGTAAAATATAAATGTTACTTTACATGGAGCTCAGATCTAACTTAAACAGTTTTCTAAAAAAAATTCTCTTCATATAAAAACTTTTTGCATAAAATCTCATAGATATCATTAAAATGTACAACTTCTGTCTGAAAATTTGTTGATATGGTGAGTATTTGATGAAATCGTAATGAAATAATTTTTGTCTGTACATAGTGTTAATAGCTATGCAGAAATTAAGTAAAGAAAAGGTAAACCAAGACAAATATAGTACCCATTACTTTTCACAGAACAGTGACATCAATGACATTTATCAAGTTAATGGCTTCCAACTAAACAACATGTGTTAAATTGCCTTTGTAAATAAGTAAAGCCAGTTGACTTAAGTCTGAGTTGATTATCTTCAATTTTGAAGATAATAAAATTTTTATTGTTTAAAATTTCTACTTGCCAGCTGATGGAATTAACTTACACTAATAATAATAATAATTTATTTACATTCCATGGATCCATAAGACAGTCAGATGACAATAGGATGTGGAAAAAGTCATAATAATAATACAATACATATTATAAAGTACAATTCAAACTATTATATAAATTTCACATAATACAAACAAAGGGCTCACCTAAAGTAATAAGTTACAAATACATCTACCCATTACACAAGAAAAATTTATCATTTATTTGTAAACAACATAAATTCATTGACAAAGTAAAAGGAGTGTGTAATTAAGTATCTTTTTAATGCTACCTTAAATTGCTCCTTCTTATTTACAAGACTTGTGAGATTTGATGGTAGACTGTTGAAAATTTTGATTCCTGCATAATATGCACTCTTCTGAAAGCATGAGAGGTTGGCAATTGGTCTATGAAGCTGATTTTTATTCCTTGTGTTGACACTGTGTACAGCAGAATTAGTTTGAAAAGAGTTCTTGGTTATTTATACTAACTACACAGACCACAGTACTTTTTGAGAAGATGATAGTATGCTCAGGTAGAATTCCCCACTTTTTTATTGAACCATGAAGTTGACTATAATATTCCCAGCATCCTCCACTGCTCTTTACCTTGAGTCAGAAGAGTCCAGTTCAGCCCAGTCTGTGAACCTGCCTGACATTAACCTCATTTACAACCAACAGCTGACAAAAGTAATTCTTCCTCCTTTTCAAAATATTGTGGAAATCTGGTAGCATATCACTGTTCTTATCTTTTACCAAATTCTGGGTTGGTAATGCTTCTTAAGTCCCAGATAAACTGGCTTTTTTAATTATACTGGTGTTCTTTGTGGAAACATAACAAACATTATAATTTCAGTTCTATAATTCTATAGGAAATTTGAAACCGAACTGTTTGGTAAGGTAACAAGTTTATCTGTTGTATAAAATTGTTAAAAATCTATGAATTCTGCCTTTAATGCAGATGCAGAAGTACTAATTGAAATAACAGGCATTTGTGCTATGCCATTTTCTTTATGAATCAATGATTAACTGATCACTACACAGGTGTAATACTACATGTTCCATACAGTATTCAAGTACCCTTTATGTCCAGATAAAGTCTTAACTGGTTGTACTTTTAGTTCCAAGGTTATAACATCTGAAGAGTATTTGGAATCATTAGGATTTATGCAGTGCATATATTTTATAGACCATTGTCCAAAATCAGTTACTTCACACATTCTCTGAAGACTTGAAGGAGGTAACAAAATATGGTATTGCAAAAAATAACCAGGAAGTCTATATCAACACCAAGGGACATTAACTAAAGTAAGGCAAGGACATGATTTTCAGAAAAAAATTAATGCTGTCCACAGTAAAATAGCATTAATTTACAATTTGAAAATTTAACTTCAAATTAAATACCTTAAATGTGTGTCAATTTTTTAAAGCTGTGAATCTCATTACGATGGCTTATTTTGATTAACAACAAAAACAAAAACAAGGCATCTTAATGTTCAGATACAGGCTGATGAATATTCACAATCATATGTGCCTTACAATGATTGATTAATTAAGTGATGAGTTAATATGGCATAACTCCACATGATATATTATTCTGTTTAATTTGTAAGTTACACATTAGCACATGCTCACT